ATTTGTTGGAAAAATAATATTAAACATGACTTTTCATGTTTTAGGAGTTATTTTTATGCATTTAGTTTTTTTATTAGTGGGTCATCAATTTGATATTAGTGGGGGACAAAGTAATTATGGTATTTTAATTCTCCAAGTAATGGAGGAGTGGGTCTTTATTATTTTCATTATTACATTATGTAGTGGGGTTATTTTGTATGTCATTAAAGTCTATATATATCCTATGTAATGCATCCATTTGGACATGAGTGAATAGAAAGAGTTCTTCCAATCTTTAATAGTCTCTTCCATTATATTTTTTAAGTGAGTATGTGATAGTCCTCTAGATTCTAACAAAGTGGTATCAGAACTAGGCTTGAGTGTTGAAAAGAGAGAGTGAGAGAGAGATGGCGAATGGAATGCTTCCATTTCAAATGTCTGAATTTACCAAAGATAACTATGAGAATTGGTGTATCCGTATAAAGGCAATTCTTGGAGATTGTAACAATTGGTTACATAGCACTGCAAGATGAAGCTTCCTTAAGGCAAGCCCAAAAAAAAGTCTTGCAAGCTACAAAGAAGAAGGATCAAAAAACTTTTTCACTCATCCATCAATGCTTGGATGATGTTATGCTATAGAAGGTTGCTAGTGCAACCACATCCAAGCAGACATGGGATGTTTTGAAAATCGCTCATAGTGGAGTGAAACAAGTCAAGAAAACTCACCTCCAAACTTTACGAGGTGAATTTGAGGCTTTACGTATGAAGGAATCTGAATTAATTCAGATTATTTCACAAGAATCTTGGTGGTTGTGAATAATTTGAGAACTTATGGTGATGATCACTATGATGATACCCGGGTGATAGAAAAAATCCTCCGTTTATTGGACCACAAGTTTGATTACATTGTTGTAACCATTGAAGAGTCTAAAGATTTAGACACAATGACGATTGGCGAACTCATGAGATTGTTGTTTGCCTATGAAGAATAGCTAGGCAAGAAGAAATAAGAGCCGTTGGAGCAAGTGCTACAAACCAAGCTTTCTTTCAAAGAAAAAGAAAGAAGACAAGATGGAAGTCAAAGAAGTAGAGGGTGTGGACGTGGAGGTAGAGGTTGTGGTGGACGTGGTTGAAGTATAGGAGAAAACTTTGGCCAAAATGTGTCCAACAAAGAAGAAAGAGGCCAAGAATCACATCGTGGAAGAGGCACCAATTGAAAGTCATATGGAGGGAGGTATTACAAATCTTATATTCAATGTTATAATTGTCATCGATATGACTATTTTACTTCTGAATGTAGAAATGATTTTGTAGAAGAAATGACACACTTTGTTGAAGACAAAGTTGAAGAGGTAGAGCCGACCTTGTTGTTGGCATACAAAGAAGAGCAAAAGGGAGACAAGAATGTGTGGTATCTTGACTCTGGTGCTAGTAATCATATGTGTGGAAATAAAGAGATAGTTGCGGAGCTTGATGAATCGGTGAGTGGAGAAGTCACTTTTGGAGATTCTTCTCAAATTCCGGTAACGGGAAAAGGTAATATTTTGATTCGTTTGAAGAATGGAAGGCACCAAGTTATTTCAAATATTTTATATGTTCCAAACATGAAAAATAATATTTTGAGCTTGTGACAACTCTTAGAGAAAGGTTCTGATATTTGAATGAAAAATCATAATCTTTCAATAAGAGATGGAAACATGAATTTGGTTGCTAAAGTGCCGATGACAAGAAATAGAATGCTTTTGTTAAATATTCAAAGTGATGTGACAAAATGCTTAAAAGCACGTGTTAAAGATTCTTCTTGGTTATGACACTTGAGATTTGGGCACTTAAATTTAGGAGGACTAACCTTGTTGTCTAGAAAGAAGATGGTGAACGGATTGCCTTCTATCAACTACCTGGATCAACTTTGTGAGGGATGTTTAATTGGAAAGCAAGCTAGAAAAAGTTTTTCCAAAGAATCCATTTCAAGAGCAACCAATCCACTTCAACTTGTTCACTCGGATGTTTGCAGCCCTATAGACCCACCATCATTTGGCAAGAATTGGTATTTTCTTCTCTTTATTGATGATTTTAGCCGAAAAACGTAGGTTTATTTTCTAAAGCAAAAATCGGAGGTGTTTGGTGTTTTCAAAAAGTTTAAGGCTTTGATTGAAAAACAAAGTGGATATGCAGTTAAGGCAATTAGATCTGATAGAGGAGGTGAATTCACATCAAATGAATTCAAAAATTTTTGTGAAAAAAATGGAATTCACCATCCTCTAACGGTTCCAAGATCACCACAACAAAATGGTGTTACCGAAAGGAAGAACTGAACCATTCTTGACATGACTCGAAGTATGTTGAAGAGTAAAAAAATGCCCAAGGAGTTTTGGGTGGAAGCTATTGATTGTGCCATCCACTTGTTAAATCGGTGTCCCACTAGAAGTGTTCAAGAAAAAACACCACAAGAAGCTTGGAGAGGAATCAAGTCAAATATTTCTCATTTGTGGATCTTTGGAAGTGTATGCTATACACATGTGCCGGATGAGAAACGGATCAAACTAGATGACAAGAGTGAAAAATTTGTCTTTGTTGGCTATGATTCAAGAAGCAAAGATTACAAGCTTTACAACCCAAGTAATGACAAGATAATAATTAGTAGAGATGTTGAGTTTGATGAAGAAGATGAATGAGATTGGAACACTCCACAAGAAGAGTATGATTTGTTCCCATTCTTTGAAGAAGAGGAAGAGCCCAATAATGAAATCATGGAGCTGCCCATTTATTCTCCTCCACCATCACCACCATCATCCACCAATGTGCAAGCATCTCTATCATCATCCGAAGCAAGTTCAAGTGAAAGGCCACCTCGCATGAGGAGTCTTCGAGATATCTATGAAGAAATTGAAGAGGCAATTCAAGTATTTAGTGATCTAACACTATTTTGTCTATTTCCCGATTGTGATCCCATAAGCTATGAGAAAGCGACATAAGACAAGAAGTGGAGGAGTGCCATGTATGAAGAAATTGATTCTATTGAAAGAAATGGAATATGATAGCTTTCCACACTCCCTAGAGGACAAAAGGTCATTGAAGTGAAGTGGGTTTACAAGACAAAGAAAAATGCCAAAGGTGAAGTGGAGAGATATAAAGCAAGGTTGATTGCAAAAGGCTATAGTTAAAAACCGGGTATTGACTATGATGAGGTATTTGCACCGGTTGCTCGTTTGGGAACAATTAGATTGATTATTTCTTTAGTCGCTCTAAATGATTGAAAAATTCATCAAATGGATGTAAAGTCCACTTTTTTTAATGGTTTTCTTGATGAAGTGGTGTATGTTGAACAACCCTTGGGTTATGTTGTGAAAGGTTTAAGGAGAGAAAGTCTTGAAACTAAAAAATGCTTTGTATGGTTTGAAGCAAACACCAAGGGGTTGGAATAGTAGACTTGACAAGTACTTTCAAGCAAATAATTTTACCAAGCGTTCCCATTAACATGCTCTTTATGCAAAAGTGAATGATAATGGTGATATACTCTATGCTTGTTGGTATGTGGATGATTTGATCTTCATAGGAAATTGTCCAAAAATGTTTGAAAATTTCAAGAGTGTAATGGCTAAAGAATTTGAGATAACCGGCATTAGACTTATGTCATACTACCTTGGCATTGAAGTAAAGCAAATGAAAGAATGTATTTTTATCTCTCAAGAAGGTTATGCTAAAGCAATTTTGGCAAAATTCAAGATGCAAGATTGTAAACCGGTATGCACACCTATTGAATGTGGTGTAAAATTGTCAAAATATGAAGATGGAGAGCATGTAAATCCTACCCATTTCAAGAGCCTAGTGGGAAGCTTGAGGTACTTAACATGCACAAGGCTGGATATTTTTTTGGTATTGATCTTGTAAGTTGCTATATGGAAGCTCCTACCATGACCCATTTGAAGTGGCGAAAAGAATTCTTAGGTACATCAAAGGTACACTTGATTATGGATTGCTATATTCTTGTTCTAAAAATTTCAAGCTTGCGGGGTTATTGTGATAGTGATTGGGCTGGAGACATGGATGATAGAAAAATTACTATCGGACATGTTTTCTTTATGGGAGATATTTGCTTGGAGTTCAAAGAAGCAACCCATTGTAACTCTTTCGACTTGTGAAGCCGAGTATGTGGCGGCTACATCATGTATCTGTCAAGCCATTTGGCTTAGAAATTTGTTGAAGGAGATTCATTTGCCTCAAGAAGAATCGACGGAGATCTTTATTGACAACAAATCGACACTAGTGTTGGCAAAGAATCCGTTGTTTCATGATTGTAATAAGCATATTGACACAAGTATCTATTTCATTAGAGAGTATGTGATCAAGAAAGAGGTGGAACTCAAGTTTGTGAAGTCTCAAGATCAAATTGCCCATATTTTCACTAAGCCCCTCAAAGAGGATGTCTTTTGCAAATTGAGAAGTTTGCTTGGAGTTGAGAAGAAAAATCAGGTTTAAGGGGGGTGTTGGAAAAATACTATTAAACATGACTTTTCATGTTTTTGGAGTTATTTTTATGCGTTTAGTTTTTTGTATTAGTAGGTCATCAATTTGATATTAGTGGGGAACAATGTAATTGTGATATTTTAATTCTCCAAGTAATGGAGGAGTAGGGTCTTTATTTTTTTCATTATTGCATTATGTAGTGGGGTTATTTTGTATGTCACTAGAGTCTATATATATCTTACGTAATACATTCATTGGAACTTGAGTGAATAAAAAGAGTTATTCTAATCTTTAATAGTCTATTCTATTATATTTTTTAAGTTAGTGTGTGATAGTCCTCTAGATTCCAACAAAATTTAATGAAATAAAGTTCATTTCTCTGAATGAACTTGTTAAGAAAATATATATTAGCAACCATTTTTGTTCACCGTAGATTTTCATGTCGCCACTATGATTTGTGTTTCTACCAATATTATATAGAGGGTCAGTGATTAGTTAACAAATCGGATATGAATCAGAATTTAATTAATTTAACCAGAAAAATAACAATATTTCTTTCCAAACAATTCTTACTTACTTCATAACTTAACAACCCTTTATGACTGTACATACCGATCTACATAAAAACAAAAAACAAAAGTTTTCACGTGTTGTGTCAAATTTGAATCAAATATTAGAATAATACATTATGTTTTCGCGTTTATATTACAACCATGGGTAAAATGTTACACAAATCATATAAAGCATATATATGATAATTGTGAAGGATGACAAGTTGGGAACTTAAACTAAAAGTAGAGAATTTTACTTCAAGTGCACAAGTCACAACCCTTTCAAGAACCTTGATCATCACAAGATCCTCTGAGAATTAAGCTTTCTAGTTCTAGCTATCTAACAAATCCTAAAAACCACAAAATGGAGTTCAAGTACAGTCCAAATCACTATAATTAACTTATTGATCTGATGTGTCTGGTACTTGAGTCAATGGTGAGTTGGGGAGATTGTGAAGTAGGTCTGCAGGAAACTCAAGATCAGAAGAGAAGTTGCTGCGATGAAAGCAACGACAGTCCATGGGTTACTAAAATGTCTGTAAATCAATTCAGCCATCCATGTCTTCATCTTGTTGTTGTAGTGGTTCTGAATGTCCTTCCTAACCCGGTCATAGATGCCAAACTTCTGCAGATCGTAAGTGATGATATCTTTGAACATTTTAACCACATCTTCATCATTACCCAGGCAATTGATAAGAATGTTCTTTGATCTTAACTCTCTCACGTCCTCAGGTTGACAAATGAGTGATTTCATGAAACTAATGTATGAAGTGATCCCACAATCATTAGGAGTACTCGGGCACATTTCATAAGCAACCAGGTTCGAATAAATAGTCTTGGTCTGAGCATTAATGATCCGAGAAGGGAGACTAAGCTGTCCATAAAAGCATTTCGAATTGAACTTGATGTCCTTCAAACTTACACTATTGCTACGCTTAAATTGAATTCCTTTTGCTTGGAGTTCTGTGACAGGTCGAATAGATGACCGAATATACTCCTTCACATCACAAATAGGAAGTTCCTTTCTTCCACTTGGGAACAAAGAAGATTGAATCCTTTGCTTATCTTCATCGTAGTTGGAGAGGAGAATTGTGCGCAGAGCTTCAAGAAGATGAAGAGGCTGCTTTTCATCTTCCCTCCGTGAAATGCTATGCTTACTTCGTGGGGGTGGGGCTTTTGCAAACATTACTGCAAAGAAATTTTCTATCATTCCTCCCCTCTCATCTTCTTTGAATCTTTCGCTCATCAAAGCCTCGAGTAATTGCAGTGGGAGTTGGTTCTCAAGCAAAAACAAGTCTGACAATATATACTTCGCGGCAAACATGCCCATATGATGCACAAATTCCCAAATTTCCAATCGTCGATTTGACATGCATTCTATGTAGTATAGAAGAAAACAACCGTCAAGAAGCATCATTTCAGCAAATTCCTGGTCATTGTAGTCACAGGTGGAACCTTCAATGTAGCAGCTTCTAACATAATCGATCACTTCCAGAACCTTATTGTAGAAATCATCAAACTGTTTCCCACTATCTGAAATAAACTTGTGCAGAATGGAATGTTTTTGGTTCTCTGCTAATTGAAGCTCCTGTTTGCCATGGTGGTAAGGACCCAAAGAAACCACCCTAGGATCATACTCTTGATTGTCTCCTTTGTGTGCCCTTCGCATCAGTGAAGGAACTTTCTCTATTCGGCGTTTCCAAGATAGATTGTTACCTATTCTGTCTCCTGCATACACTTCTGACCATTCTCTGATTACAGTATTGTCATGGCACGATTCATCTGCGATTAGTACATGTGGCCTCTCAAATTCATCGCTGATATCAATAGTTGCATTGTTGCTTCTGCTGTTCGTTGGATCAACTCTCTTTATGCCACACATTGTAGGGAGCTCCGTCATAGTTACCGCCTTTTACCTGTCAATGCTGTTAATTATTAGAACATAGAACACATGGATATTATGGGTATGATACGAACGAATATGACAAAATCTAAGAAAGCAGATATTTATTTATGTATATATTATAATGTTATTACAATACTGAGGATATGAGGGATTAAGAAATAAAGAGTATAAGTAATGCTATTTAGATTAAAAAGTCTAAATGTGGCTTCATTGTAACTATTGAATTAACATCAAGTTCCAATGTTTGATGAAACCTATTATCAATCCAATAATTGTAGTAAATGAGGTCAATAAATTAGATCCTAATAGCATTGCTTAAAAATAAAATACATTCAAACTACAAGTATTTATGTTACTGACAGATGTACGGTATATTGGTGTTTTAAATTCAAGATTTTATGTAAGTCTAAAACTAAAAACGCATCAACCTTCGAGAGTGGTCAACTTTTACTTAGCATCTAATTATAATAGACTTCATTGACTTTAACGTAAATCTTAAAAATTTATTATTCAAGCTAACCAAATTGTAAAGAATTGACAAATTTTATGTTATATATGATGGTCGTCCAAATGAACATCTTGGAATGACAAATCCCCATTTGTATGATTCACGATTTATAAGCAACTCACATCACTAAGTATAAGGCGAATCTATTTATAGTATTTGAGATGTTTTCGACAAGTATTCGATAATGATAAATATTTATTAATTATTTGATATGTATAGAAAATATCCGATACTTATTCGATGAGTATTGGATACAAATATGTTACCCCGACCAAAATTTCCATGTTTCAAAGATTATAACACATTCCTTTAGGTAGCAGATGCTTATATTTGCATATCTTTACATACGATGATAATGTCCCTATAATAGGTTTAACCAAATTACAATAGGATAATTTTATTGTAAAACCCGGGTAAATTTAAATTTTTTCAGAAAAATGACAAAATGGTAATTTGCTGCTATAATGTAGAATTAAAATTCATATTTTTCTAGAGTTCAGATGAAACAATGGACCTCACCGTTGAATTCATATTGCGAAATCGAGTTGCCCTATCAATTTTCATTGAATTTCGAGATAGTCAGATTTTGCACATTTTACGAGACAATTGGGTGACGAATGACCTCACAAATATCCCCAAAAATAAAATTTATAATTTTTCCTTATAATTGAAAAACATTTTAAATAAAAATAATTTGAACTTAAATGGAGATAAAATTAAATCGTTTGGGGAAAAAAATAGACCCCAAAGTAGGACACGTGCGGTGCGATGTGGACCATGCAATTAAAGGGTATAAATATCGGTAAAAATCAGATTTTTTGGAGAAAATATCTTCTCCATTCAGGCTGTCATCGTGTGAAGAAGAAAGGAGAGAGAAAATAGAAGAAAAACTTAGATTTCAAGACTTCTCTTTGCGATCTACGGAGTTCCGTCGGTCGGAATCACTTGGACCAAGAGTTAAAGTCAATCACTACGACGAGGGCTATGCAACCACACCTAGAACAAGGGATTTCACCGAAGATCCAATACAAGATTTTGAAAAAATCAAGGTTTTGGGGTTGTGTTGGTGTTCTTGAGATTTCTACCACTTCTATCACGCTCCAAGAGGTAGGATTCCCTCCTACCTTGGTTTATTTCTAGCCTATAGTGTTCTTAGGAAAGGGTTGAATGAACCATGATTTGCTTATGGTCATGTTCAAGAGAAAATGGGTATAGAAATGAGTAGAATGAATTTTATTTTGAACTAGGTATATAGAAATTATCTATGGTGATTATTGAGTTATATGATGAAAAGTGGGCATGCTATGCTTTTACTTAATTTATGCTTGGTTGTTATGGTAAATTGAAATTATATGCTTATGATGTGATTTATAATTTGAAATGTAAATGTTGATAGGTACTTATGGTGATTTATGGAGGTATGCTTAGAATGTAATCATCCATGATATGTGTTGAAATGTTATAGAGATAATCCATGTAATGTTCATTGCATATGTATATTGAAATTGCTCATTTGACATTCATTGTATATTGGACATGACTTTGACATCACATTCATGGGCATTAGGCATGAGTGTAGGTGTATGTGCATGGTGAATCAAACACCATATTTGGTGATTGATGAGTGGGCTCGGGAAAGTTGGACTGAAGATCCGACTGAGTCGCATGGATGCATAAAAAAGAAAACTTGTGTTGGGTATAACGAGAAGGGCTAGACTATCCCTAGGGTGCAAGACCCGACTATTGGGTTATACACTTCCTATGGTGCAAGTCCAAAAAAGTGTATCGGTGTGCGGAGCCAATGGTGTCACACCCAAAGTCCGCTGCCCAACAAAGACACATGATTTTATTCTGTAAAATGGTTATTCGATGTGTATCATCCAATAATGATATGGTTTTATAAATGCATGATCTTTTATTTCAAGAAATTAGTGGATGTAATTAATCAAATGACAAATGTATTACACACGTGCATCGCATAATGTTGTGGGAGTTGGTGAGGACATGGGTTAGAGTGCATGAGTGAGTATCATCTCATTTCATAGCATGCCATGGGAGTTTCCAACATTGAATGCATCATTCTTGATTAGAATGTTATAAATTATGGATTGTTGCATGCGAACATTGCATATGCACTTAGGTTGGGGAGTAGCTTTTGTAATAAATACTTTACTGGATGTAGCTCACCCTATACGGGAAAACATTTCAGGTGCGGGATATGCGTCGGTGGATGGCTCTCATCCGGAGCCTCGAGGATGAAGAGAGGCCGACTTGAGGCCTTTAACCTGTATTTTGTAAAACAATGTGAACTTTATGTTTTGGAGATGTAATCGTATAAAAACGGTTGTAATAAAACTTGTATAATTTATGTTTGATGTATAAATGTAGTATTATATAAGTTGGGTGAGTTTTAGAAATGAATTGGAAATGAAAAACTGGTGAAATAGACTTTTCTGGGAAAAACCTACTGGTAGGACATAAACCTACCGGTAGAACTTGCACAGATGGGTGTCGCCCCAGACTAAACCTATTGGTGGGAGATAAAACCTACCGGTAGATGTTCCGATAGAACTTTTCTAGTAAGTAAAACCTACTGGTAGATTTTCCAGTAGAACTTTTCCAGTAAATAAAACCTACCGGTAGAACTTTTCCAGTGAACAAAACCTACCGGTAGCTTTTCCAAAAAATCTAAAACTTTAAAAATGCTTGGCAAGGCTTTTAGGGCTATGTGTTCTTTGGTTCGAAGGATATAAATGGACAATAAATGGAATATGAAATGTGGTACATTAGACCACGATCGAATTGAATGATAAAACATATACGAATATTTTCGTGAGTTGACGGGTGGTCAACAGTTAACAAAATGACCCCCGGCTTTAAGGGCGTCACAACCTGGTATCAGAACATAGGTATGCGATTACCTAGGGCCAATTGGCATTGGGTCTAAACCATTGCATTCATTGTGTATTTCATGTTATGTGCTTAAATTGCTACATGTTTTGTGTTATGTGTTATGTGAATTATATACATGGTAGAGATGTATATGGAAAAAAATAACAGTAGGATTAGAAAACAAAATCTTGGGATTCGGAATAAGGGAAGAACGAGACAGTTCAAGGTGTAAATTTGATCTCTAACCTTGGGATGCTAAGTTGTGGGTCTATTGCTATATTATGTGTGTGTAGATGACAACTAGAGGAAGGGAACGTCGAGGGTAGACGGAACAATAACCAACCACCATCAGCCTTTGACCATCAAGCTTTAGTAGAGGCTATTGGTACGACAGCTGCCACTATTGCTTAGGCTAGTGCTACAGCTACTACTATTGCATAGACTAGTGCAAATGTGGGTCAAGGAAGCTCAAGTAACCTCCAGAAGTTTAAGGCACACCAACCCCCCGACTTTTAAGGGAGGGCTGGATCCAATGGTGGTTGACCATTGGTTCCGACAGGTTGACAAGATTTTGAGGGCTATGACGATCACCTCTGATGCCACCAAGATAACACTAGCTGCATTCCAGCTAGAGGGAGAATCCCAATTGTGGTGGGATTGGGCAAAAGACTCTAAGAATTTGGAGGCCATGACATGAAGAGAATTCTGAGAGCTCTTCATGGGCAAGTATTTCTTGGCGGCCGTTTGACATGCAAAGGTCCGAAAGTTCTTAGACTTATGACAAGGCACAATGAAGGTGCTGGAATACGTGGCTAAGTTCACTGAGTTAGCCCGTTTCGCCGATGACTATGTGTTCACAGACATGGCAAAGTTGAAGAAGTTTGAGGATGGTCTGAAATTGTTCATCTGAGAAAAAATTGTGAGTCACTGCCTGCAAAACTTGGATTCGATGGTCATGACAGCTATGACCATTGAGAAAGAAGTTGAGGACGCATCCGGGAAGCGGGGGCTAAAGACAAAAAAAAAGAGAGTCAATCCTTTTCTTCTAGCTCGGGAAAGAGACGAAGGACTTCTACTCCACAGGGACAAGACCGTGGTTATCAAGGTCAAGGCCATGGTCAATCTTTCCAAGGTGGGAGACACTTTAGGACTTCCAGTCAGGCAGGTTAGAGAGCATGTTTCCATTGCCACCAACTGGAACACATGAAACGGAATTGCCCCCAGATGTAGGAATCCCAAAGTTACGGGTCGTCATAGTCCCAGTCATCGATGGGGTAACCACAGACACACTACATTCCTCACTACCCCACCATGGGTCAGGGAAGCCAAAACCAGTTTCAGGGTACTACTCAGGCCCCTACCACTTCACAAGCGGGGATTCCACAATTAGGCCAGATGGGTCAGGACATGGGTCGAGGTTGTGGACAGGGCTCACAAGCCGGTACTTCAAGGACCCAGGGGCATGTCTATGCCATTATGCCTCAGATTGAACCAGCAGATCAGTCGGTTATACATGATACATTTCTACTCTCTTATTTTTGGGCTAGAGTATTATTTGATTCTGGTGCAACCATTCTTTTATTGCTGCATCTTGTGTGAGGGATTTGGGCTTAG